AATTAACGTTTTAATAATATTTAATACATATATTTTTGTATATAATTGCTCTTAAACACTTATATAATTATTTCTATATTTAATTTTTTTCTATATTTTTTCGTTGTAAATTTTTTCCATTTTTTTTTTTTCTAAATTTTTGAAACTTCAGAGATACAATAAAATTTGATTGCGTTTCGATCCACATATTTTTTTACGATCTAATTCCTTCCGATCTTCGTCTTGTTTACATTTATCCAAAATACGTTGTTGTTCCTTCCTCAATATACTTTGCAGCATCGGTGGGACACATTCGTCTTGAAGACCATTTCTTTTGGAACGACAAGCCTCGTATTTTTCCCATTGATAGACGGGAATACATTTTTTATAGCGAGCGAGCAGCTCGTATGTGCTGGGCAAACGTGATGTATCTCTGCAAATCTTTTCAGGAACTACGTAACGTTTACAATCTGCCGCTGATCTCTGATACTCGAATGCTTTGTCCAACTTCTCGGATTTTATTCGCGTGACCTCAGCTTGCAACGACTGTTCCGAAGTTAGACGCTGAAGTTGATCGGCAAAACGATCTTGCATCGTGCATATTTTTGTCGGCCAAGCCATCCTGTCTGCCAAAGATTTTATATATCGACAATCCTTGGTTGCCGATTCTCGGACTGGCTGGCAACAGCTGATTAGACAAATTTGTTTCTTGCATCTCTTCGAGGACTTCTTCGAGGAACATGACGTGGAAGAATCTCTCCTACGTGTTATTCGAGAAAGCGGACATTTCATCTCTGGGAAGAGTGAAATATTAATTTTCATATCTGCTCTACTTGAACGTGCGAGTTTACAGTCCGGAGGGGAACGGCGCGTCACTTTCGGTTTTAATTTTCGGCACGAAACACTTCGTTCCGAAAGAGCATGTCCGCTAGAAATCCTCGCTGCTTGATCAAAAATTGTCCGCCCAGGGAAATCAGTTACTGGTTGAATGATTTTATGAGAGCTATCTTTTTTCAGCTTGGATTCTAGAAAAATATTAATTAATTAATTACATCACATCGTGTTTTTATTTAATACTAAACAATCTTACTTAAGTAGCGCTTGGGTGTTGCGGTACATTCAATGACGATGACGGGTTGATTAGATGATTTATCGTCAGATGCCCTTAAAATGTTTTTCGATGATGGACGAGGTAATATTTTTGAACTGAAATCATCGAATTGCTCTTTATCCTTATCGATCTTTAGAATCGCAAAGGAGGCAGTTTTTATCAGCCGGAACTATTGTCTAATTGGAAATAATTTTGTTAATTCAATGAAACAGCATATCATGCTCTTGTTTTAATCATCAAGATCTTCGTTTCATTAATAATATCATTGAATTAACAAAATTGTTTCCAACAATTAGACCAATGCTGTTGATTCAACAGCATTTTTTTCTCAGTGCATAACAATATTATAAATCGACATATCTTACCCTTTTATTTTTTACATTTTTTTTGTGATCATCAAAACTTTATGAATCTATTTATTTGCAATTATTTTATGTAATAAAATGTTTTTATCGTTGTTCGCCAATTCTCAAAAGATCAAGCTCTTGATTTTTTTTATTACGATCTGTTCTACATGATCAAGTCGATTCGCACGGCTTCCTACCTCGAGGACGACGTAGTCCTCTGTAGACGTGGTTTTTGGACTGTTGCGGTGTCGACGGGCATTCGGACAATCCGGGCCACCGGTCGATCAGCTTCGAATCGGCATTCGAGCATAGTGTATCCTGGCGGATACAGCGAGCCGTGGCAGGTGGGCAGCGTACGTTCAAGGCCGCGGGACTGTCGAGAATCGAATTACATTCAGCTCGTATCGCATATTTGAGCTTACAATGCGCCGCATTATGCCGCGATAATCCGGACGCTCTTTGAGCGGATTTCCACCTGAGACGTTCCTAACTCCGCTCCTTCTCTAATAAATTTCGCATTAAACGCCGGTGGTTTCCGATCGCGGTTCCAGATCGAGGGAGAAAAGAAAGACGGGACCTTTGCGGAGTTTGTGGTGTACGGCGATGTTTTTCAAGGTCATGATGCTCGCTCAGGCTCGAATTACGCGTCTTACGTCGCTCGAAGACTTCGACCACTGCCCGTTGTCGGCTTGTTAACCGATGGAGAGGTATTTTTTTTTTCCGCGGAATATCTGCTCGCAACCGCGTTACATTGCGCGGTTTGCCTTTTGCGCCACGACGACAAGCGATACTTTATTTACATTCACTATTGCGCAAATTAAACGACTTTTTATCTTTGATATCATTTGATACATCTTCTAAAGTTACGAGTTTATCTTTAAATTTTATTCAGATTCAGATATATTTCGTGCACTTATTATCAAAACGTCAAAAGTAAAATGTAATAATTTGACAGTTGATGACATTACTAGTTTAAAAAAGAAGCTTTTGTCTCTAGTATTAATTACAATAATAGAGGCACGATTAATTAAAATCGTGTGGCAAATTAATATTTTAATTACCAGCTGGAAAGTATCGCATGACGAAGTGGCGACTTCATGGTGTTTACTTCTGGTGTCACGTCGAGAAAAAGAACGTACGCGTCGGATAAGAAAGAGAGATAAAAGAGAAGCGAAGTAAAAAAGAGGAGACTATCACGTGGGATATGCAGCTGCTCGCTGGAAGAAAATACGCGGAGGACGTGTGAAAAATCGACAAAAGGAAAATGTGGCAAAGGCGGGGAGAATGTGGCAACGGGAGAGGAGTTTTCCCTTTCGTGATGACTCATTTACGGCTACGTACCGCGAATTAACGAAGACGGGTCTGCGATATTTTTTTCTCTACAATTTAACCCGCAAGGCCTCATCCGTCGTTTGATCTTTTTTGCGGCATCGTGAGAATGAAAGAATCTCGTGATTCATAAAATATTTCCGAATGAATTCCGCCATTCAGTGTCATTTAAATTATTGAATATTAAAACTTTAAATCTTTAATGAAATGCGTTTTCGTTAAAAATTAAATCTTCGAGATAATTTTTATGTACATATTGATTTTTTTGTACAGTAAGGTATAGCATATTTCTAAAATGTATATTAAAATTAAACTGCCATGAGAGAAATAATCACGATTAATTTTCTTACTCGAGATCGCGAAGCTTTCAGCTGTTCGCCAGTTTTGCCGCAAAGCCTGGATATAATATTAGCTTCTGGATCTTTCCTAAAAAAATATATAATATATGAAAAAAGATAGAAAGTAGAAAATAAATTTAAAATATATAATTTTAAACGTGCGCGCGTTTCTCTCACGAGAGAAACGAGAAATTCTAATTAGTAGAACGACTGAAAATGGTACGTGTCATGATTATGATAATCGGTACATTGAAGTGTAAGGCCGGAATAATGTCGTGACAATGTCGGTTCACAAAAGTTTCTTTCGCGGTACGTGATCACGAATGCAATTTTCATTGTCGAATGCCTACGAATTTTGCACCGGTCACTAAACTGGTCCGTCTGTCTGTCCATCTCTCTGTCCGTCAATCGATCCAAATCCCAAAATAAGCATGCTACCCGATGTCCGGCAAGCGTATGCAAATCGCTTCGCCACTCCCCTACGAAGAGAGAAGGTACTGACATTGTGTTACAGCTGCCCTCATTCGACTCCGTACAAATTCTTTCGCTCGATTTCGTACGACTGCGCACCCCTAATGCATCCCACTTTAGGGTCCAGTAATGAATAATCATTTTTCAACCAGGGGAATAACAATAACGCGTGCGATTTTTGTATAGGGCTATTATGAATATTGGACACTAATGGATCATTTATGATGTACGCATTAAAATATTCATTATAATCACAAGAGCATACATCATTTTTTAACGATTTATATATCTTTTTTGCACGACCTGTCACTCATAATATTTTCGTGATAATTTACATGGGTTTAACATTGTGAAATTTTGTCGTCAATTCTCTCTCTCTCTCT